AACTAGCTTGCCCTTGCCCTTGGCTCGGAAGAGGAGGTGTCCGCTGGCCAGTGTGAAGTCGGGGCCTGCTCTGGTCCAGCTGTGTTGGGTGGTCTGCCCAAAGGCGATAGCTGTGGAGCTCAAGTTGTAGGCCAGGTGGGGGCCTCCTAGGACTTCAGGGTCTCTACCTGCCTCAGGGTCTCCCTCCTGTCTCTTGGCAGCTAGTGTCTCATCACCTAGAAAGGCCCAGGCACCCTCCTCCCCGCCATCCGGAGCACCTACTCCAGCACAACCAGGAGACAGGGCTCAGGTAGGCAGATGCCTGGGGTGGGCGGGCTGGGGTCACTGCGGGGTTCATTCTTGGTGCTTGTCCCATTGGCTTTGGCCGTAGAGCCTCATTGGCCAGGGTGGGTGAGGGGGCATGGGTCAGATTCCAGTCCCGTTCTGTGGGCAGGGAGCTCCTTTTCTTTCTCCAGGGCTTGGGGTAGAATCAGGAGCTGCCAGGCCTGGGAAGGGGGCATAGGACAGTCTACAACACTGACTTTGCCCTTGTGGCGCTGGCAGGATTTACACGTTATCATAGAGCAAATACTCCCCAGATTCCTGTTGAGACAGGGTTTTAGCTTCGCAGCATGATTGCATTGTATCCTCTCCACACCTCTGGGACGTCGGTATTATGTGTCGAGAAAACTGAGGCTCCGAGAGGTTTCGTCACCTGTCCAAGGCCGGTCCCCTGCTCCCAGATGTTTAGAGGAGCCACACTTCAAATGTGGATAGCTCTTCCCAGTGTGCAAAGGGCTTTTCCCCCTTCCCAGCTTTCCCTTGCTGGAGGGGCTCCTGAGGGACGGGGAGCTGGTGCAGTGTGGGTGCCCGGTGAGCTGGGGCTGAGACAGTCACGGGTTCTAGGATTCCGTCTGCAGGAGGGAACCCAAGGCACAGAGGGTATGAGAAGCAACCTCAAGGTCACAGTGCTTGGACGTGGAGAAACCGGGATTTAAATCTGCAGCCCCAGGAGGGGAGGCAGAGAAGGGAGACGAGGTGGGCCTACGAGGACAGTCACCCGTCAGGGGCCAACCTGCAGGGATAAGAGAGGGGAAGGGGTAATACAGCCAGGAGCCGTCTTTCTGGCCGGGAGGGCCCCAGAAACCGGAACTCAGGATTTTTGTTTCCATTCTGACCCAGTGACCTTGAGCCAGTCTCTCCCCCTCTCGGGGCTTCAGTTTCCTCATCTGCAAAGTGGTGACTGTCTCCCTCTGCTCCTCCGGGGCTCTGATGAAGTACATTACTACTGCAAGGCTGATGCGGACGTGGGGGGGCAGTGGCTTTTGGAGGGGAGGGGGACTATTGTTTAAAAAACATTTTTTTTAGAGAGAGAGAGAAAGAGACAGAGTGCGAGCAGGGGAGGTGCAGAGATAGAGAGAGAGAGAGACAGGGAGACACAGAATCCGAAGCAGGCTCCAGGCTCTGAGCTGTCAGCCCAGAGCCCGACGTGGGGTTTGAACCCACGAACCGTGAGATCATGACCTGGGCCGAAGGCGGACGCTCAACCGACTGAGCCCCCCGGCGCTCCGGAAGGGGGCTTTTCTTAAACAGGCTGGCTGGTGACCACACCTCTACCCCCCCCCCCCATCTGCCCACCCTGTCCCTGCAGGGTGAGGAGCTCTCCTCCAGCAGTCTGTCAGAGCAGGGTGCCCACCAGACCCCCAGCAGCACGTGCGCGGCCTGCCAACAGCACGTGCATCTGGTGCAGCGTTACTTGGCCGAGGGCAAATTATACCACAGGCACTGCTTCCGGTGAGTGGCGGGGGGAGCCTGGGGGGCAGCGGGCTTCACTCCCCCCCAGCACCCCATTTCCAGGGAGGGAGATTCCATGGATTCAGCACCTCAGGGGGCCAGGCACATTGTGGGGCTCTTCGTGCTGGAACATCTTCCTTATCCCCATTTTACCGATGAGCACACTGAGGCTTAGTGAGGGGAAAAGCCTTGCGCCGTCACGGAGTTAGGGAAGGAGCTGAGCTCAGGGGTTCTGCCTCCAGCGCCAAAGCTCTCTGAGGCTAACGACCTACTGACAATTCAGGAGCTGACTTAAACGCCCTTGAGAAAAACAAAAAGGATTTTTAAAAAATCACGACTTGTTTTCAATGTGTGGCTCCCAGGGGAAGTCAAGTTTAAAGAAAATGGAGTAAGAGACAAGGAAAAGACAGATAACTTAGAAAATGTAGAAGAACAGTTTATTTATTTTTTAATTTTTTTTAATGCTTATTTATTTTTTGAGAGAAAGAGAGAGAGACAGAGTGTAGACAGGGGAGGGGCAGAGAGAGAGAGAGAGAGAGAGAGAGAGAGAGAGAG